GTCATGAAAAAACAGTTATAATGTCCTCAATTTCTAAACCACTGCAGCACATATTTTTCCACATGCAGAATTTTGTCTAAACAGCTGACACCAAAATATTAAGTTGTTTACAGAAATATTAACTCCAGTTTAAGCTCTTTTATTACATAAATGACAATGACAAAACCAAAATACTAAGGGAATTTGAAAGGACATTTAACATCTTGCTATGAGTATATTTCCAGAGAACAAAATGAAGCCTATCCCTGTCAAACTTACTGCAGCCAAAGTGCTATAATAGTATTATCATCACAGACCATGGTAGTTACTTCTCCTGCTTTAATCACTGTAGAGAAGAGAATCATCTTCCCTGGTTTAGGCCACAAAAGTTAGATTCTAATTGATTCTTGCTTCCAGACAACATTTTTAAGTCAGTCACTTAGGCATATCCTCTCTGAGGTTCCAACATCTTTGACCATCCTGATAAAAGCTATTCTCTGATTCTTTCAATGCTGCAGTCTCTTCTCCTTACTGTATCTTTTTGTCTTTTTTTATTATTTTATGGGGGAAAGAGCATGGGGCAGGGTGTTGGTGATTTTCTATGGGGTTTGTTCAGTTTGCAGATTTTTTATAAAGTGACAATTCCAGTTACCTCCTTAAAAAAATTAAGTAAAATATGAAGTGATCTTTCCAGAGATCCCACGCAAAACTGTACATTTGTGCCTTTAGCTTGGTGAGACATCAGACACACAGCAAGATACTAATACTCCAAAAACACCAACCTATTCTAACACTGCAGAGAGAGATTCCTTGAGGAAATTACTTTATGTAGGACCTGCTTAGGGAAGTGAAGGAAACGGGAAAAACCTATGTAAATAGTGAACATATGATAAGTGTGTTTTATTGCTTGTGTCTCATCATTAAAACAAAACAGGTTCCCATGGTGCAACAGATGCTTCCTGAGGCAGATATCCTCCCACAACACATGACTAAAACCTCAGTAACACCACGTTCTCCCTTTCAGTTACCTCTTTACAGCCTACCTCCTGAAACCAGCTTAAACAATCACAATCCTTGACATATAAAGTAATAATATCAGCAAAGTCTGATAGGAAAATTCATTTTAGACTGCCCTCATAATAAGTATAGAGGGCTTTTGTTCTTCCTTTTTCTTTTTCTCTGCTGTACCACACCAAATAATAAGGAAAAAGTAACTGCAGTGATAAGTAACTACTCCATGCTCAGACTAGAGCCCCTCTAACTTCCTAATAAGACTTCAACAAAATCCCTCATGTTTTGAACTATTAAATCCCATGCTAAAAATTTAGATCAGGTTTCCTCACATCAACTTTATCAAAGGCAAATACAAGTTGCTTTCCAGTCCATACAAAGTATGTCCAAGGGTTCTCCAGTATCAGACAGTTTTTGAGGAAATACGAAATATCTTCGTTCAAATTTTCTAATACCCTAGAAAAATTCCTTCTTTACAGAATGGTTTCATTTTTTCCTTCATTTTACAGAGGAAAAACAAGCTACAACCTAAAACAGGGCATGAAAACATTACAAAAAATAAACTGCATGCAGATGAAATGTCTGGAATCACTGTTGGGAGCTAACTGTTGGGATTAGCAAATTAAAACAGTTAAAATAAATAGTTCAACATCTTTAGCTCTTTTAACCTTCCTGTCTCAAAATAACTTATTTACAAGAACTTCCTTCCTTGGTGTAAATATATCCTTGCAACACTGCTGCAGTGCTGCTAAAACAGCAGAAAGTTATTCTGCTTTGTCACATTCTTCCTGCCAAGTAAAAAGAGAATGAACACCTAATCCACATACTCAATATGCTGCTCTTCAGGAGTCTTGCAAGTAAAAATCATGCAGCATAAAACAGAAAATCCATTCCCTGCTGTTAAGTAAAATCCCTCTATTTCATGTAAGCTTAACTTCTAATAAAGTGGGTTTTTTAATTATCAGTCCTCATTCTTAATCAGAATAAGCAGCATTACCCACTGTGACAAAACAAAACAAAATCTTGCTCTGAAATATAAATAGGACATATTTAGTACATATTCAGACCTACTGTAATCAGGTAACTATGTAACTATGTTGTGTAAATGTAGATCTTTTAAGATAATGGTAAAGATTTAGTAAAAGCACTACAAGAAAAACAGAGGTTACTAGCTGAACTTGCAATTAAACTGCATTTCTCATTAATTTCAGGTTTGCATTTAATGTCTTAGAAGAAAGCACTCTATGCAAATACATGTTCATCACTGATTTGCGTGGAAATTATATGTAGAAAAGTGCTACTTTGCAGAGAGTGGGTTATTAAATATTTCTTCAATAATTAAAAATGAACTAGCAGAAACAAGGACTACAATTAAGTCATCTTATTTTATGCACCATGTGTAGTTTGAACATATAGTTTCACCCATCTGTAATTACCCCAGCTGAACAGCATGCTTCATCAACTACTATAATTTCAGCCATTTAAACAAGTCTTTAGCATAGTTTCTCTTGTTTTCTCTGGAACAGGAAGAAATTAAGGTCAGATAGGAAGATGGTCCACTGGAAAGCAGAGGAAATCTTCTGAATAGTAATAAAATGTTTCCAATGTATAAATGTTCCAGTATTTTCTTTCAGAAACTTCCTCAGCTTCAGTGTATAAAAAATGCAGTACGAGTCAAGAGAAATCGAAGTACTGGGAAGTTCCTCAGGAAGCTCACACTCCATCACTAATGTTTCAGTTCGCAGACTGAATTGTGCCTGTCCCAAATATTCTGCAATAACAAAGGCAGACTATATGCATTATTTTTGAAAACTCATGGCAGTCAAGTGAAGTCCCTGGTGATCAGGAAAAAGGAAACATCACTCCTACTGAAAAAGAGGAGAAACACAGACCTGAGAAAATAAAGACCATTGAGCCTCACATCTCTGTGTTTTGGACAATCATGGAGCAGATCCTCACGGAAGCAATGTTACAGCACATACAGTGAAGTGATCTGAGACAATCCAGCTTGGCTTTACTGAGGGCAAACAGTGCCTGACTGATCTGGTGGCCTTCTGTGGTGGGGGGACTGCAGTGGTTGATGGGGGCAGACCAAACAAATGTCATCTACCTAGACCACTGAAAGGCCTTTGACACAGTGGCACATAACATCCTCATCATCCCCAGACTGGAGAGAGACAGATTAGAGGGATGGATCATTTGATGGATAAGGAACTGCCTGAATGGACACAGCTGTCAATCATTCTCTGTCCAGGTGGAGGCCGGTGAGGGACAGGGGCTCTTTGATACCTTCATCAACAACACAGACAGTGCATCTCAACGAGTTTGCAGATGACATGAAACTGAACAGCACAGTTGAACTAGAAGAAGAAAGAGATGCCATCCAGAGGGATCTGGACAAACCTAAGAAGTGGGCCCATGAGAATCTCATTAAGTCCAAGGACAAGGTGTTGCACCAGCATTGGAGCAATGCAAGACATGAGCACAGACTGCGAGAAGTCACTGAGAGCAACCCTACCACAGACTCGGGGGTGCTGGTGGATGAAAAGCTGAACATGAGCCAACAGTGTGCACTCACAGGCCAAAAAGTCAGCTGCATCCTGGCTACATTAAAAGAGGAGTGGCCAGCAGGTTGAGGGAGTGATTCTGCCCCTCTGCTCTTGTGAGATCCCACCTGGAGTGCTGCCTCAGCACAAGAAAGACACTGACCTGCTGAAACAAGCCTGGGCAACGAAGATGATCAGAGCACTGGAGCACCTATCTTAAGACAGGCTAAGAGAGCTGGGCTGTTCAGCCTGGAGAAGGTTCCAGGAAGATCTTATTGCAACCTTCAGTACATATAGGAGGAGTATAAAATAGAGGGAGAGCAGCTTTTTACCCAGGCAGATAGCAACAGAACAAGGGTGAATGGTTTTAACTAAAACAGGAGAGATTTAGGCTACATGTTAGGAACAAATTCTTGACTCAGAGGGTAGAGAAGCACTGGAACAGGCTGCACAGAGACGTTGAGGATGACCCCATCCCTGGAAGAGTTCAGAGTCAGGCTGGATGGGGCCTGTTGATGCTGTTTACACATAGGCACACAGAAAAGTAAGTAGCATCACAATAAATTTTACAATGATAATTCATAACTTAACTCATTCATGGAGAACAATCTTCCCCTAGAGGTTATAAAAAAGGATGACAAAACGGGGCTAGATTCTTCTCCCATTCATCTACAGTAAGAATGGGTGTCAGAACCACATGACAATATCCTCATTTTTAGGGGACATCTTCACTCCCCTTGGTTGTCAAGCGTGTGCCTAACAATGGCCAGAAAGCAAAATAAGCAAGCACAACAAACTACACAGACATTTCCATTCCTACTCAGTAATTCTGAGAATCCCAATGGTAAAGTTGAGTAAATGCAAAGGCAAGTCCTTTGCCAGGACCACCAGGAGCCTACCTACCAAACTCATTCAAGCACAGTCACAAAAACTTCCTTAGGTTGTAGGACTTAATTTACCATTAGTAAGGACAATGTCCTCAATACTTGTCTGTAAAATGTAAACCAAACCAGAAATCTTTCTTCTAGACTGCTCTCTGTAATAGGTATTGTTTTATAACATGAAGTGCCTGCAACAGATCTAAGGTAAATAAGATAAGCCAGTGATGGCTCAACCAAGAAAACTGAGTGAAGAAACTGCAACACCAAGCAATGGATCACACCACTGTCTTACTGCAAGCTAAGTAAGTCACCTTTGCCCACCTCTTACACCAATCACAAAAGTAGCACCTTTTATACATAGTCATACAAAACTTTCCTTTAGGCTAGAACAATGGACAGTAATATCCCATTTCAGACAAATACAGAAATTAGACTTTCCCTCCGTATGTGTCTGAGGAAAGGGCTGAATTAAGAAGAACAGCAACAACTACTCAAGTGCTGAAAGATAAAGACCAGCTGTACAAAACAAAAGGATAAAAAAGACTTAATGTATGCAAAAGTGAAGTTTTTTTTTTACTCCTACCTCATCACTTTCATCTACTTCGATTCCACCATCTTTGTCATCATCCATCTGCTTATGGATCATGCGGAGAGCTTCCAGGCTGAACCGGTCCTCCTCAGTAAAGCACGGGGGGCTCAGTGAACTGCAGGGATCTAAAGTGAGGAGGACAAAAAAAACCAAATCAAAACAGAACAAGAGTAAATAACATTTCTTTCACTTCAGAATATAAAGCTCCCAAGCAAAAGAAAGGATTTAGAATACTGCATTGTGCATATGTACTTCACTGCACATAATCACCAGGTCACAGATATCAAATTTAACCATAAAATAGTAATTGTACAAAAAAAAAGTGAAAGGCTTGTGTGTGCAAATCAACTCTTTTTTTATTCAGGAAGGAATCCCAAAACCAGACTGGAATAGTTTTGACTTCCATTTATTTCTTCCTTCCCACTAACTTACTACCTCCATTTTTTCTTTTATCATCCACATTTAGTTTATGTCAGTGCAGTGGCAAATAAAGCTACTGCATTTCCCACTTTCCTTTCTGAAAGTCTGAACGAAACAAAGAACAGTAGAGGAAAAGAAAAGGAATTGTCCTATCATACAATCATAGTTTCATGAGCAGGTAACAAAGGAATAGTAATCACATTGCAGATCAAATTCTAAATAGGTGGTACTACTGAACACAAAATACTCAAGGACTGCAGGAGCAGAAAGCACACTGCAAAGAAAATTCAGCTGATAGTAGTACACGATGTATTAGTCCTGTACACTCTGATCACAAACTGCAGTCACTGTAGAGCAGGATTCCAAGTCAAAAATAGAACACTTTCATTTGCATTCATTACTGAAGGCTCATGATTTGCACACATCTGATGGTTCAGCTTGCACCACATCAAACTGCTAAGTCTGTGTTCTTTCCCTTCTACAAAGTACATGCCAAATGCTCCAAAATTCTACAACACATGATGATCAACCATCACCACAGCGGCCTTACACAGACCTTGGCATCAACTAATAGCAGCTATTACATTAATTCTGATCTACTGGACACCAGCAAAGAACAGAAGGTGGAGAAGGACACAGAAATAGTATTTTCAAAATTGAACTTAAATAAGGTAGCAAATTCCCACTGTACTAGCCACTATAAAACTGCACTGACTAGTTCCTAAATTGCTACACTACACTTAAATCATATCAGTGCAAGTAAAAATTGAGGGAGTGAGTAATTTTGCTTCTTCTAATCTAGCAAAGAATTAAGCTTTCTTGTTGCTACACAATTTATTAAAAGGCTCACTTATATAAGTAAAGGAAGCACTTCTAGAAAAAGGGAAGAATCAAATGTCTTCAGAGAAAAATAAATTCTTTAGTTTATGATTTCATACCAGCTGGATTAGCATGATTCTGCTTTTCTGTCTAAATCAAATTTTAAAATAATTAAAAACCAAAATAAAGGAATGTATAAGGTTACAAAGCAGGAAGTGCAAAGATAACAACCATGACATAGCTGGAATCTCAGACACATAATTAACAGGACTGGTTTCCACAGCTAGACATGAGTCAATGCATTCCTACTTCATACTTCAGTTTTATTACACAGGAGTTAAAGGAAATCTGTTATCTGTTCCCATGCATCAATTAAAAAAACAAACAAACAAAACATAGCAGAAAAAACCTGAACACTTCACTGACACTGTCCAAGAACAGAGGTGCTGCTTTTAGAACTAATTCATGTATTTCTAAAAGCAACACCTAATACAAAGACAGATTTCTATATTTATTAGCTACTAAATTATTAAGTATTAATAAATATGTAATTAATAAAATACTACTTATTATTATTATTATTATTGTTGTTGTTTACTAAATATTAAACCAGACCAATCACAAAAAATATAATTTTCAGCTTTGGAATGCAACTGATATTTTATGAAGGGGAAGGGGTTAATTTAAAAAAAATCTATTTTATTTGTCCATTTTTTATTTATTACAAAAGGTTTAATTTGCACAATACTCAGCCTTTAGATTTTTGCCTTACAATGAAAAAATTACAATCATTTGAGGGGGGTAAAGGGCCTATTCCTGCAATTACAGGGTGCTCCATGTAGAAAGGTTACCCTTGCAATAACAACAAATCACCTCAAAGTTCTAATTATTAAGTTCTCATGGCCATGAATAAAAATATTGTTTTACTAAAATACAATTATATCAGAAGAATAATCTCTGTATTACAATATGATATCTGTATATATCTCTATACTGCATCTTAAGTTAGAAGTATAGGTGTCAAAACATAAACAGATCCCTCAAACAAACCCAACTTGTTTAATCTGTACTTAATTCTATTCTAACATGGAATCAAATTTCAGATACATGTGTTTACAGTTTGCAAGCACGCATTCACATGGTTATTTTTTTTTTCATTTTATTCAGCTGAAAGCCCAGTTTTTCAAATCAAAAATGTCTTCTCAGAATATATTTTCTCACAACCGATGCTGATGGGTCCCTTGATCAGGGTACTTATCTTAAATATGCCTTTTTAGGCTATTTAAGCATGAAGGCACTTTAAAGAGCTATGGCTTTTCTTGAGAGAAGTAAACAGGCTGCTTGTGCCTCAAATGTCCCATGTGCTGGGTCCAAGAACACTTGATCTCTCTCTTAAGAGCCGATAGAGTGCCAATTGCTCTTTTTGGGACTGAGAAAAAGAGCAGGACCACACAGCACTCTAATAAAAATTAACCCACTCTGAAGAGAATCCAGATTTATTTTCAAGCTTATTTTCATGTGGTAAAATTAAACCTTTAGACTGACAGACTGACAACACTGGTCATCCCCTTCCTCAGAGAACAATCTCAAAACAAACTACAAAGCCACAACCTAAAGAATAACTGAAAAGCATTTCACAAGCATACCTATGGAGCCCTACCAAATCCAAAAAACAGCTGATGGAAATTTGATCATCTGCAGTTCTGCAGAATATTCTACCATGCAGTAGTTGCCTCAATTGCATGGCAAAACCAATTCAAATTAATACTAGATGGAGTATGGCTAGTTAACTGGATGTCTGGGAAGCTTTTAAGACAAAAGCCAGGAGACAAAGTCTCAAGACACAGCAAACACCATAAATATAGCCCTGAAGCCCCACAACAAATCATAAGCCTAGCTGATAATTTTTCACTTTGAATTGACACTACTGAAGATGTTCTGAGATTCCAAACCTTCTCTTGGACTTTAAGGACAAGCCTGATTTAACGTCTAGACCGATTTCTCCATCCTAGTCTGGTGTGTTGTCATAAATATACTTAATCCAAAATCATCATCACAGGAAAGAACAGATGATAAATTCACTCAGGGAGTGAACCAACAGCATGGAATTTGAGCTTTCCTTTAATGAAAAGCACAGAAAAATTAGCAAAGGAAACAAAAGAGACAAGGTGGGCAAGAGACATAAAAGCACAGCAGATATCACTGCAGGCACAAGTTATTTTATACCTCAGTTTTCCATGTTGCTCAGAAGCAAGGAAGTTTCAGAAATACTGGTCATAATAAGGAAGGAATTTGTTCCTGAACTACTAAATGTCAGACTTGTGGCTCACAAAATTTGGCAGAGGATTTTGAAACAAACCTTCCTCCTGCCTTGAGACAGCGCCTCCCAGCTCTAAGGCAAGGGGGGAGGTCCTCACCAGTGCACAGGAGACTCCCACAGGACACAGTCTGATAATGAACCAAGCAGAGTTATCCAACCCAAGATAAAGAAAACTTCATAGGTAAAGGGAAAATAACACTTCACAGCCTTTCACCCCACTCCTCCTTCCCCCCTACTTTAATCTTCTTCAGTGAGACTAAAATAAGGTGAGACTACAAAAAGAATTTCAGTTTGAAATTCCCCTCAACTTTAGATTCACAGCTCTTTATTCCATTTCCTAAAGATAACAGAGGTTAAACTTAAAATGTGACTTTGTCAATATAAGCCAGTAAGGAAAACTGAATATCCCCTTATCCTTCAAGCACTCATCTTAACAAAGGCCCTGAAATTTATTTAGGATTACACCATCAGAGGATGTATATATGTATATATGCTTATACATATATATGCATATGTATATATGCTTATACCTCTTTCCAAAGCAAAAAGGTATAAGCACCTCATAGCCTTTCATGCACCTTGCATTTGCTTCTCCCTAAACAGCTGCAAAGGTTACAGACTTCAGAATAAAAGGGACTGACAGAGCAACAGAGGGAATAAGCCTGCAGTTCTCTCACACACCTCCTTTTGCATACAGACACTGGAGCACAACAGCTATGGCTGTGCCAAGCTGACAGAATGACTCCAACCAGGTGTTCACAGTTCCAGTCTGGAACTTTTCAGTGTCTGAAAAAGCCTTCTTAAGAATACAGGGACGCACAGGAGTTTCATGATTTTTCACAGGTACCTGGAATCAGGTAGACACTTCCAAATCTAAAATTTAAATGACTTTAAATTTTTCCATTAGTTCACTGAGAGCAACGTAGCAGTTGGGAGTTATTTCAAGAGCCTGACTACCACACATTGTTTTTGTTCTGTGAGGATGTTCAGCATTCACCAAGAAAGAAAAGCTTATTTTTTATCATAACATATGGCAGTCCTACAGAAGCCCGCAGGGTTCCCATGCCTGTCTTTTACTGATGAATTCAGAAGTGTACCATGCTGTTCCAGGTTTCTGATTCCTCATTCCTAAAAAGCCATATGGGATAAAGGGAAGCCTCACAGAAAAGGCAAGCACTATAAAGCATCAGCTTCCTAAGTACATACTTTCATCTTAAAATAACTGTGCTTCAGCATGCCATGACAGACATGGATTTCTTTGCACTTTCCAGACACAAAGGAGGTGTCCACAATATGTTCAACCCCCTGCCAAATGAATATTCACCTAACTGGGATTCCTATTCCCTGACATTTCTGTTTTACATGTACCTTAATATACTGCAGTTTCTTAATCAATTCAGTGACACCTTTCAAGGCAAAAAACCTTTACAAGAACAACAGTTTTTGAAGACCCGAGTACAAATTGGAGTGTCAGATAGAACAAGGATTAATGAAAATACTGAAAAGCAAGTGTTTTCAAGAATTTTACCTGATGTTCAAAATAAATTTATTCACAGTAAAGGCAAA